AACGGAGTGTAGCCAGCAAAGCGGAACCTGAGTGTGTTTGGTGCTGTTGACACTGTCGCCGATGTAACTGTACGGTAGCCGGCTACAATGGCTGGATTAACAATATTCGGTTTTGTGCATGTATTCGTCATAAGGATCCAATGCGAGGTAACCGAGTGCAGCGAGCAAAGCCGAACCTGAGTGTGTTCGGTACTGTTGCCACTGTCGCCGATCAATGTAACTCTCTGACTACGGTACCGTAGCTGGCTACAATAGCTGGATTGCATGTATTCGTCATATGGATCCAAGTAGCGAGCAAACTGAGGAAACAGGAGACGAACGCTGAAAAAAAGCCGAATTTTCTATTTCCTATTTCCTATTCCGGTGAAGCCAAAGTATAAGGATAGAGATAGTCATAAGCCAACAAAACTGAACATTGATGGTTCAATACAAGTTAGGGGTAGGAATAAATCATTAATATTTAAGGTTAGTGCAATCAGCACAACAGCACAATAAGCCAGCAGGAGTTGTAAAGGTTAGAGTTACAATAAGGGAATGGCAGCTGGTAAATTATAGAGTAGCGGGCGGCAACACACGACGTAGTCGGGTGTTGTCGCCAGGGCTAGCTTAATAAAGAAGGTTAGGGAATGAATGATACCGGGCGGCAACACACGACGTAGTCGGGTGTTGTCGCCAGGGCTGGCTTCAAAGATGGGTGCAATCTCGAACATGATCCTCCTTCTTCTATCTGTCTTTCTGCCGAGGTATCGCAGCTCCTGCTGACTTAAAACCCGCCAGACATAGCCTCAAGAAAATGGCGCGATGACAGATCTATCATAGTTACCGGTACAGCACCTTTTATATCACACACTAGTAGACTAGCTGCGTCCCTTGGACTATTTCAAATTTTAAATGGATGCAATATTATTGTGTTTCCCGCCTCTTCGGTGGATGATTGTGATTTTGGCATTTTTGGTTTTGCTGTGCACTTCATGTACTTCAAAGTGAGACGACAAAGATGGCGCAGAAGTTTCATCATAGCAGCACTAAAGTCAGTATCAACAGGGATACAGGATCCAACAATGACGGGCAAAGTCTGGTGGGACGAGCTCTGATGATTCGCTTGGATGCTCAACGTAGCGTCTTTTCAAAAGGAATGATTGTGGCGTACAATCCTTTGATGAAATTGCACACCATTAAACTGTTGGAAACCAAGGAACAGAAGCAACTGTCCTTGAAAAACCATGAACTCCGTTGGTTGAAAAAGAAATCCAAAAAGCCTCCTTTCGAGCTTGCTATCAAACGAGCTGCTGTGGGACGGTCCATCCGATTGTTGAGCCAAGATCAAAAGAAAACTGCCGACGGAACGATTATCCAATATCTGGAGAACGTCGACAAGCACACAATTCGACTTGAGAAAACCAACACTTTGTTGACCGTCAATTTAGATCGTGGCAAGTGGCAGTACACAGACTTGATCGGTGGTCCTACTAACAGCGAAGACTGGAACAACGCGTTAGTAACATCCAGGTACCTGGGAGTCGAGAGGATTTCGATTGACAAATGGTCCTCCAAAATTCGCAAGCCGAACGGAGAAACTTTCAATATTGGGACATTCAGCAGTGAAACAGATGCAGCGATGGCGTACGATGCCTGCGCAAGGGATTTTGGTCAGCAGAAACTCAATTTTCCGAAGAGGAACAACTCGACGAGTGACTCGGCCAATCAACCCAGCGATACTACGTTAGAGGAGCCTCTCGAGGAACAATCAAGCTCCTCCAAGTATAGAGGAGTGACTTTTCATATCACAAGCACTACATGGCAAGCACAGATTTTGATTAACAACAAGAGCTGTGTGCTGGGTCATTTTGTTGATGAGAAGCATGCTGCTTTAGCCTTTGACTTGGAGGCAAGAAAGGTTGGGTGGCCTCAGGATCAGCTGAACTTTCCTGATGAACAAGCCACAGAAGAACAGATTCATTCATGGATAAGGCATCGTTATGGCTTTTCCCAGTACCGGTATCGAGGTGTCTCCTTTAACAAACGAAATGGCAAGTGGCACGCACGGATAACAAACAACGGCTCAACCTGCTATTTGGGATCCTTTTTGGAGGAGAACCATGCTGCTCTTGCATATGACTTTGAAGCAAGGAAACTGCAAAAGCCTGAGCTCCGTTTGAACTTTCCTGATGAGCATCCTACAGCTGAACAGATTTGTGAATGGAAGGAGAATTCCCATGGTGGCAGTTCCCAGTATCATGGTGTCTCATATAACAAACGATATAGCAAGTGGCACGCGATTATATCAAGCAACAGTTTGGGATACTTCTTGGAGGAGAAGCATGCTGCTCTTGCATATGACTTTGAAGCAAGGAAAAGTGGGCAGCCTGAGCTTTGGATCAACTTTCCTGATGAGCATCCTACAGCTGAGCAGATTTGTGAATGGAGGCAGAAACATGGTGGCAGTTCTCAGTATCGAGGTGTCACCTATGACAAACAATCTAGCAAGTGGTGGGCACATATAAGAAACAGTGGCTCAGCCTGCTATTTGGGATCCTTCTTGGAGGAGAAGCATGCTGCTCTTGCATACGACTTTGAAGCAAGGAAAAGTGGACAGCCTGAGCTTTGGATCAACTTTCCTGATGAGCATCCTACAGCTGAGCAGATTTGTGAATGGAAGCAGAAACATGGTGGCAGTTCTCAGTATCGAGGTGTCACCTATAACAAAAAATCTAGCAAGTGGCGGGCACAGATAACAAACAGTGGCTCAACCTGCTATTTGGGATCCTTCTTGGAGGAGAAGCATGCTGCTCTTGCATACGACTTTGAAGCAAGGAAAAGTGGACAGCCTGAGCTTTGGATCAACTTTCCTGATGAGCATCCTACAGCTGAGCAGATTTGTGAATGGAGGCAGAACATGGTGGCAGTTCTCAGTATCGAGGTGTCACCTATGACAAAAATCTAGCAAGTGGGGGCACAGATAAGAAACAGTGGCTCAGCCTGCTATTTGGGATCCTTCTTGGAGGAGAAGCATGCTGCTCTTGCATAGACTTTGAAGCAAGGAAAAGTGGACAGCCTGAGCTTTGGATCAACTTTCCTGATGAGCATCCTACAGCTGAGCAGATTTGTGAATGGAAGCAGATTGTCCATGGTGGCAGTTCTCAGTATCGAGGTGTCACCTATGACAAACAATCTAGCAAGTGGCGGGCACATATAAGAAACAGTGGCTCAACCTGCTATTTGGGATCCTTCTTGGAGAGAAGCATGCTGCTCTTGCATACGACTTTAAGCAAGGAAAAGTGGGCAGCCTGAGCTTTGGATAACTTTCCTGATGAGCATCCTACAGCTGAGCAGATTTGTGAATGGAAGCAGATTGTCCATGGTGGCAGTTCTCAGTATCGAGGTGTCACCTATAACAAACAATCTAGCAAGTGGCGGGCACAGATAACAAACAGTGGCTCAACCTGCTATTTGGGATCCTTCTTGGAGAGAAGCATGCTGCTCTTGCATACGACTTTGAAGCAAGGAAAAGTGGGCAGCCTGAGCTTTGGATCAACTTTCCTGATGAGCATCCTACAGCTGAGCAGATTTGTGAATGGAGGCAGAAACATGGTGGCAGTTCTCAGTATCGAGGTGTCACCTATGACAAAAAATCTAGCAAGTGGCGGGCACATATAAGAAACAGTGGCTCAACCTGCTATTTGGGATCCTTCTTGGAGGAGAAGCATGCTGCTCTTGCATACGACTTTAAAGCAAGGAAAAGTGGGCAGCCTGAGCTTTGGATCAACTTTCCTGATGAGCATCCTACAGCTGAGCAGATTTGTGAATGGAAGCAGATCGTCCATGGTGGCAGTTCTCAGTATCGAGGTGTCACCTATAACAAACAATCTAGTAAGTGGCGGGCACATATAAGAAACAGTGGCTCAACCTGCTATTTGGGATCCTTCTTGGAGGAAAAGCATGCTGCTCTTGCATACGACTTTGAAGCAAGGAAAATTGGACAGCCTGAGCTTCTGTTGAACTTCCCTGATGAGCATCCTGCAGCTGAACAGATTTGTGAATGGAAGCAGATTGTCCATGGTGAAAGTTCTCAGTATCGAGGTGTCACCTATGACAAACAATCTAGCAAGTGGCGGGCACAGATAAGAAACAGTGGCTCAACCTGCTATTTGGGATCCTTCTTGGAGGAAAAGCATGCTGCTCTTGCATACTACTTTGAAGCAAGGAAAAGTGGGCTGCCAGAGCACAAGTTAAATTTTCCAAATGAGCACCCTACGCAAGAACAGATTCAACTTTGGCAGGCTTTGCCTGCAGAAAGGAAGCAAAACGTGCCCTCACGTGACTCTTCTTCTCCAGTGATTGGAGATGATGCACGACAAGTTGGCACTGAGCATGCAAATGACGAGGAAGAAGAGTTTGGGATCAAACCCATCCATGGTGAAAGTTGCATCAACGCTACGGAGAGATGCCAGGATGGAGCAGTCCAAAACCAAACTCTTTCAGAAACCGACAACGCGACGGTGGGGCTTGGTTCTGCTCTGCCCATGTTTCTTGTTGGGACACGCTTTCGAAGGGTGAGTATCGTGAATCAAAAATCTTCCTGATGCTTGCAATGATGCTAACCTTTCGTCAAAGACCTTTGATGGGCATGGAACTTTTGAGGGTGTCATTACTTCCTTTGACGGAACTTACTACCACGTTGTCTATCCAGAAGATGGAGATGAAGAAGACTTTAGTGAAGAGGATCTGGAGGCATTGGACGATATCAAGATCTTGCCCGCCAGTAACAGTCCGAAATACCCCGCAGGAACTCGCTTTGTGACGGTACGTGCGCAGAATGGAAGACTCGACTCGTCCTTTGCTTGCAAAGCCAACTCAGTCTCTCTTGTCGTTGCAGCAATTGGGCGAAGACAACGTTGAAGGAATCATCCAGTCATTCAATGGAACACATTACAATGTGTGCTACCCAGGAGACGGCGCCCACGGACGGTTGATGGAGTACGAATTTGAGATGGATCGAATTCAGGTGTTGTCACCGTCACCTGTACACTCGTCAGCTGCTCGTGGCGACTATGAAGAATCGATTCGTCCAGACGGCGTGACTAGCCGAGTGACTGTTGGCAGTGAGGGCACGACAGCGATCAACGGTTGCGGCGACAAGAACGATACCGAAATGACTGCCATCAAGAGGAAACACGAAGAATCACCCGCGCCCGAGATTTTGAAACGGAAAAAGGCAAAGAGGAGCACAGCCCATGTCAAAACTGAGCCACGAGACTAACGCAGACTCCACAATCGCAACAAGCTGCCTTATTTAGTTGTTGACAGCTCCTGATTGTTATTGTTGTTGTTGTTAAAGTTTGAGTACTGTAGTACAAACGATATGTTGTTGATCTCGTCTGCTCCTCCAAAAGTAGCGTGCTCGTGTTGTGTTGCTTTCGCAAAAAGCAAGCGTAGTAATGCTTCTTGGCCCGCGTTCACATCCACTTCCAAAGTCGAGCCATTCGGGTGTTTGGCTTGTGGCAAAGGCAAATGCAGAACCGCCGAGTACCACTGCAAAGTTGGCTGCCCATAATATTATGATAATAATGGCTGTGTCTTTGGTCCCGCAGGCATGCACAGGTGCAGTGGGGGAGATTGGCCAAGGCATTGTTGGCTTTATCCAAAACAGCTTGAGTGCTGCTAGCTAGTCTAGTATTGGCTGATAGATTCTTCTTCAATCTTGGGTGACAACAACAAAAACGCGAGAAGTAGGACGTCCTGCCGCAATGCCTTGGTGCGCTTTTGGCTGTGTGAATGGAAGAAAATCCAGCAGAAACGGTCGAGGCCAAAGCCAAGACAAAGAAGGAAACCTCAGACAATCTTCTTGTCATACGATTTCAGCAAAGAGTGTAATGAACTTGTCACGGTGGACAGCTCCATTTTTGGATTACAAAGGTGCAGGTGTTGTCAATCAACACTGGTCGCACGATACCATGCGGGTCGCTATGGGATTAAGATGTACGTGGTCAGAGTGGGCGATGGGTGGGAGGGAACTCCAGAGGTCGTGGGCATCAGTTCTCTGCAGAGGTTTCGAAGCCAAGAACGAGCAGACCAACTGAAGAAGAAAAGGATCGCAAGGTAGGAGGCCAGGGAAAAGGGATGGCATCGGTATGCATATTGGTTTTCTCTCTCGGGTGATGAGAGGGTCCAGGTCGGAGCTCATGGTGGAGCTGATCACGATGCACATCCCATTTGTTTGAAGCCTGCGCGAGCTGTAAAGAAGATTCGATTCTTTGCTGTGACTGGGTGACTCAGTCACCATCCCCTCATTCTGCGAAACACAAACATGGCACCAGTATTAGCATGCCACCGGAACAGGGCAACCCAGCAGCTCCACAGCTGCCACAAACCTCTTCACCAGAACACATAGAATAAGAAATGAGAATAACCATGTTGTGGAGGATCAAAGCATTGTGGCTGGCATGCCTGTCAGGTGGTCGATGGAGCCAGTTTCCTTTGTTGCCAGTAGTATCAGCTTCAGCATCGAGATCTCCTGCTTTTGTCTCGTCCAGACGATCAACGAGATCTTTCGCGACGGCGGCATCGAACGTCTCTACTAGTAGCGGATCCGCCAATGGCACGACCGAGTCTTCTTTTGCCATGGAATGTGATGAACCAACGTTGGTGGCACAAAGAGTCTTTGCTACCGATAAACGCCCCGTGATTCTTTTTGAGTGAGTTTTGCTGTTCTTTATCTTTTTCACTCGTTGATTAAACTCAGTTAGTGCCCTACAACAATCTTACATTCTGTTTTATTTTTGTTCAATAGTGGCGTTTGCAACATGTGCAACGGGGCCGTGAATCTGGCACTGGACTGGGATCCCAAAGGGAAATTGCGGTTTTCTGCCCTTCAGTCGAATGTTGGCCGTGCGTTGCTGCAGGTGAATGGAAGAGCGGCTAATGATATCAGTTCCATTGTTCTGGTCACAGAAGATAGCGCTTTCATCAAGTCGGATGCCATTTTGCGCATTACCGAAGCATTGACGCCACTGCGACTAGTGGCGCTGAAACCAGCGGCAGTAGTCGCACGATGGGTGGTGCCCCGATTTTTGCGGGACATCGTCTACGATGGTGTGGCGGTGAGTCGATACAATATACTGGGAAAGCAAGATCAGTGTCGCTTTGATGCCGATGGAGAGTTTGAAGATCGTTTTGTGGACGACAGACTCGCACAGAAACAAGTATGATTATTTCATTGATTCATCATCACTTGTCTTTGGAGAGCTGTTGCAGAATTGTTCGTGCTCTACAGCCAGTCAACAGCATGCATTACTCAACATTCAACTATGGAATCGGTGTCAAAACCAGCCAATAAGGGAGAGAACTTGACTGAGATATCCCTGCGTTTGGCATTGAGTTTCATTCGTTTCGGCACAAAAGAAGGGATCAGCTTGTCAACAAGACTTGGGTGTGGAAGCACTCATATATTTTCTAGCCTACTAGATTCAACCATTTGATACGACCGGTTGCTTTGCTTGTAGCTAGCTACCGGTAGCTGTTCGCTACATGTTGTTGAAGGCTCTAGCGTGTCTCCCTAGTATTTAGCTACCTTTAGTTGGATACCGACCAATATTTCTCTTGCATTGGTACCATACTATGTCCAGATTCAACTTTTGATACGACCGCTTGCAGCTAGCCAGTGAGCTACGGTAGCTGCTCGCTAGATGTTGTTGAAGAATCTAGCTTTATTGCTTCAGACTCGTCGTCCTAGTTGTTAGTTAGCCAACCAAGTTTTCTATTGCATTGGTATTGGTACTACTACTTCCTACTGGAACTTGCTTCCGGTACCTTGTACCGATTGTTCTCGGCGGACTTGGCTTGAATGGGCATGACCTCTGCTGGTCGTTTGGATCCGTATTCCCGAAATGCCTCGGTGAGATCGTCTACGGTCAGTGGTTGTTGCTCCTTTTGTTTGGCCACAATCAGCTCTTTGAGCGAGACGGCACTTTCGAGCGCACAATTGCACCCTTCTCCAATGGCGGGGGTCATGGCATGAGCGGCATCTCCAATCAATGCCACGCGACCGGAAGAATCGCAATACTGCGGTTGGTCCACCAAAGGTTTGAGCCACGACGTGCGACGATGACTCCGTGCCGTGCTGACCGTCTCCAACCCGTTAATGTCTTTGAAAAAGAGCGGCAGTTCTTGTTGCAGCATGGCTCCTAGTTGATCGACAAACTTCTGATGATCGTCGTCTCCGGTTGTTTCGGTGTTGCCATCGTCATCTTGACCGTATTCGGCTTCCCACGATTCTAGATTAGCCACTTGGTCTTCTCGAGGAAGACACCAGGGATGATCTTGTCGAACTTGGTCATAGCAAATGGCCGAAATGGAATACTGATTATTGGGTAGCGGAGATGCCAAAATGTAGTATTTGGCTCCTTGGGGAGCCCGAAAGACCGTCGTGGCATCTTTGGCCCACCGTGGTGGACTCTTCTGCGGTGTCATGGCAATGCCAAACGCGGGTTCCGCTTGCACCGTGAATTGTTCTCTCCAATCCACGAACGAGTTTCGTACGGCACTCCATTTGCCATCGGCGCCAATCAGATGCGTACAAGACAGGGTCGATCCATTGTCCAGTGTGACTTGCAGTTGTTGCTGTTGATCAGCACACACCACCACATTGGTGACTCCCACGCCTCGTTGTATCGTGACTCGTTCGGCCTGAGCGACGAGAATAGATTCCAAACATTCCACCAATGCCGGTCGCGTCAGTGAGTAATTGGGAGGATTCCGGGGAATGATTTGTTGCTGACCATTCGGCAACTCCAAGATGACGCGATGACGTGCCATGCCCACCGCTTGGATTTGGTGCAACACACCGGCATGATCCAATGCCGAAAGCCCTCGATCGTTGAGATTGATACTGTACGATTTGGATGTCCAAGGATCGGCCACCAGCGATTTTTCCAGGACCGTCACCAATACGCCCGCTTGAGACAGCAGAATCGCCATGAGCAAACCGGCTGGACCTGCTCCTGAAATGGCGACATGAGGTGATAGCATCATTGGACTGAACTGAACTGCAGTACTGACTTTGTGATTTGGAGGAAGTGAGATAGTTGGAGAGCGATGTAGTAAAAGTAAGGGACAACGGATCGGCTGTTGCCAGTGGTGCGAATGTTGAAGCTTCTTTCCTGCTGAATGGAGGTTCAGACCCGCCAGAGTAGTGATAGTGATTGAAATAACTCTAAGCTTACTGTAGTCAAGCCATGCATACGTACTACACTGACGTACCACAGTTCGTACCGCTGCATTGAAATGTTAAAGCTTCGGATACCGCTTCCAGATACCATAGCTCAGAAGAACTTTCGCAGTGACATCAGCATCCTACTCTCTTGGGATCTCGACCATGGCGTTGCACTGAGGAACAACGCTGTTTCATATCTTTCTTACCTCTCTCCAAGTTGTTGTTGCCGTCGTAGTTGTCCTTTGTTCACCATGATGAGATTCACCGTACTTGTCCTGCTCTTGGCAGCATCTGCCTCTGCCTTTACGACGACCGCTCCTTCGTCAACAGCCACGGCACTGCAAATGACAACCTCCTTGGCGACCGCCTTTAACAAGCCTCCTCGTGTGGTCAGAGAAGATCTGCCCGTTTTGTATGTCTACGATCACTGTCCCTTTTGCGTCCGTGTCCGAGTGGCTCTGGGAATCAAGAATATCAAACACAATCTCTATTTTTTGGCCAATGATGATATCCCCACTCCGACAGCTCTGGTCGGAAAGAAGATTGCTCCCATCTTTGTAAGTATTTGAAACCAAAGTAAAACAAAAAGAAGCAAGCAAAACAGGAACCCAATCTATGGAATCTGAGGACAATTCTCTGGCTGTACTCAGTGACCAAGTTGTACCCAACCATCTCATCCTGATCGTTTTCCATGTTTTCTGTTCTCACTCTCTTTTGTTTGCTAATATATTTTCACTATTGTCCTTGCTTATATTAGGCCCTACCAGAAGATTCGTTGGTCATGGCCGAGTCGATGGACATTGTCAAGTTGGTCGAGAACGATGCTCGCTTTGGACCCACCAATGTGATTCGCCCCGCCACGGAACGGACCGATATTAAGGATTGGCAAAAATCCGTCCGGGATTTGCTCCGCAATTTGCAACGTCCTCGTTACGTCGCCACGGGATTGTTGCCCGAATTTCAACAACTCGATGGACGTCACGCCTTTATCAAAAATCATCAACTCCCACCCTTTGAAAAGAAGGAATGGAAAGAAGGCGACATGACGATGGATCAAAAACTGACCCTCTACGCCGAAGCCATGGCCGCAGATCCGGCGCCGCTCTTGGAAGAATTGAACCGAAAGTTGGTCGAACTCGATGATATTATTTACAGTGAACATTACTGCAGTCCCGGTGGAATTTGTTTGGATGATGTCGATCTCTTTGCTCGGTTGAGATCCATTACCATCATCAAGGGGGTCGAATGGCCCACCAAACTGCGAACGTACATGGATAACATGAGTGCGCTCTCCGATGTCCCACTCTACGATGAAATGGCTCTGTAAGGTATCAACAGCCTAGTAGAGTACTATTCAGGACACAAACAAACAAGCAAACGAAACCTCACAATTGAGTCAGGATTGTGTGTGAGACAAAAAGAGAGAGACCGCTGGTATGGACGTTGATGCCAGGCAAAAAAGCGTCATCTACAATCAATGTATAGGGCAGACGAGTAGAGCTTGAAACTGTATTTAATGCGAGCACTCGTCGCTGAGTACAATCCGTTGGTTTCTCTGTCATGGGAAGTGCATGTAGTAGATTATGTTTCTATATCTAGCTAGCCTCTCTGCATGGACGTGTCGTTTCGATTCGATTACACTTATCGGGAAAATAGTATTCCCAACCGCATGGGCATACTCTCAAATGATGTTCTTCATGCAGACTCCCATCTCCATTGCCCTTGTGAAAGCTACCCATTTATGTTTCTGGGGATCCAAAGCCAAGCCTTTGGCCGCCGTGAGGGGCCTCAATTTGTTGCCCGTGATACCACCCAACCTAGTCCTGAATTCCGGTTCTTCTTTGCCTAAAAGTCTGGTCCCTCGCAGGCTTCCCCCAAGCTATGCATAGCTAGAACTTCCCTACATCGTACTCCAAAACCTCTTCAAAAGCCTCCTGCAAAAGTTTGAGAAGGGCAGCAGAGCTGGCGGTATCGAGCACATGGTGTAAGCAAAGAGATTATGTTCTTATGTGCGTCTACAGTGTACAAGTTGAACACGTATCCTTGACGGTTCCAATGAGATTTGGATTCTCGCTCCCAAGAGCAATGAAGGAAGGACGCTCAGCTTGCTGTCGTCACGTCCCTTGTTGCTCTGTTGCTCGCTTTGTTTCTTCATCCTTGCCCTCTACCACAGCTCTTGCCTCTGCAAACATATAACTTTGTTTTATACTGACACCATGGTGAAGTCTCTTTTGGTTACCGCCGCCCTTGTGGCATCTGCTAGCGCCTTTGCTCCTGCCAAGGAAGCTGTTCGGGTCTCCACTTCCCTCAACGAATTCGCCAATGGCTACGTTGGAGGAGAGGGTCCTGAACCTATGCTCATGGCAGGTAGCTCCAAGAACTGGGACCCTGTTGGCTTCACTGAGGTGAGATACCGTTAGACGGGCGCGTCCCGTTCCTTATGGAGTGATGGGGGCATGTGACTATTATCTTGGAGTTATGCCTCCGACTTTCTCTCACTCTGTTGCCTTTTTTCCTGATCATCATCATAGCGTGCCCCCGAATGGCTCCCATGGTTCCGTGAGGCCGAGTTGAAACACGGCCGTGCTGCTATGTTGGCCACCCTTGGATTCGTTGTCCCCGAATTCATCCGTATCCCAGGTGAAGCTTACTCCTTTGAAAGTATCCCTAGTGTCTTGGAAGCTCACGACAAGCTCCCAGAGTCCATGATCCAAATCTTCGGATGGATCTCCTTCATTGAGGCGTGCTCCTTCCCTGCTTTGGCCAACATGAACGAATTCGACCGTGCACCAGGTGACTTTGGATTTGACCCCATTGGTCTTTTCCCAAGTGACCCCGCCAAGCAAAAGGAAATGCAACTCGCAGAATTGAAGAACGGACGTCTTGCCATGTGCGCCATTGGAGGTATGGTTGCAGGTGCTTCCATCACAGGACATGGATTCCCCTACCTTCCCTAAGCACTGTTAGCAGGCAAGGGAGTGTCCCTGGCTAGAGCTAGCTAGCTAACTGAAGCGAAGCAAAGCAACGGTTGGGCTTTTCTTTTGTTGTATAGACTTTCTCTTTAACAGCAGCTACTACGTATTTGTGTAAATACTAGAAATGGAAGTCAACACGAAGAATACATGAAATCGATTGATTCGTAAGCCCTCTAGCAGGAAGGTTACCAACCACCACAGGTCCCTACGGTACCGATACTAGTACCCCTCCCCCGTATGGGCTAAAGCATACCTTTGCTATGGAGAAGGGTAGCAACCAACGCCAGCCCAAAAACAAACTAATACACTTCCGCATGGTCGCCTGTAGATCAAACATGAGGTGGGGCTTGGGAAACGTGACCTCTGATGGAAATGGTCTCGAAAGCAGCCAAAAGAGAAGCATTCTTGGTGCTGTGTTCGTTGTGATGGTCTGCGTGCCAGGAACTGATCCGTTGTTGGCCAAAGAGCATACCCAAAGCGCCTACTGACAGAAGTAGATCAGATCCATTTGATTGAATCATCGTTTGGCCTCCGGTGGGCCCGGCAGCTCCTCCAAGGCAATTACATGGTACTGGTAGCCAGCCAGTTCTTACTTGCGGGATTATGTCATGACACAAGCACCACAGTCCAGAGATACCGATAGGGTACAGAACTCGTAACTCCCCACTACTGGATCAATCACTGACCCCGTCCTGGGCCTACCCCATCCAACACCTGGCCCAATCTCATACCTGAACATTGACTCACCACTCCTGGACTAACGCCGGGACCTCCACTCCAGCGTTGCTACTAGCTATCACAGAAGAATACGGACTGAGGAAGGGGTTTACTAGTGTAAGTCAGGGCCAGCAGCCGACAGCTTCCGTGGTGACATTCTATCCCAACAGGAGAGCTACGTTAGAGTACGGCGCCGCTTTTGTTGCTGACGCATACGAGCCTTGCAAGCCGCAGCAAACGAGCGCGCCTCTTCGTTCTTGTGCCGACGTCGTTTCTTGGGTGCAGAGGGCGGCTTTGGTGCGTTGTTTCCTGCCGACTGAGGTGCTTCGATCACCCTTGAAGGCGGCAGGTTAAACGGTTGACTCTCTGGAATCGTTGCTGCATCGATATTGTTTGGCTTTTGTCGGTTTAGGTTTGCAGAATACGGTTGTTGTGATGAGGGCATTGAGTCGAAGTCTGGAAGCATGGCCGCGTCCCGACTGTTTGGCAAGGGCTGCTGAAAAGGCAAAAAATTGCGTCGAACAGGAGTTGCCTTTTCATGCTGTCGCTCCAGGAAAGATATTTCCCTCTGGGCTTGCAAGCTGTCCCAGCCGTCGGGGTCGTAGCGTCCTTGGGATAGTACATTCCAAGAAGGCTCGACGGCTCCCTGTCGAGCCGTTTCTACCGCTTCAATGTTGCTTGGCTTGGATTCTACCGGTACCAGTTCATTGTTGACTTGCTTGGAATCCATTGTTTCATGGTTGGCATGCTTGGATTCCTCCTTGTTGCGAATCTCCAGTGACGAGGGACCGTTCCCGCCAGTTGTCTCCATACCTTTTAGGACACGATTCATGATCGGTACGTTTGTCGGTGTAACTACCGGTAACTGCTTCGTGTCATGCCGAGCGGGACTCTCAGCCTCTGCCCGCTTGGCTGTTGAACTGTTGCTGATTGTAGTTCTCGATACAATGCTGCCCTGAGCCTCAGTTTTTTTGCCAGGAAGAACACTAGAAGCACGTTTCCTTTGGGAAGTCTTCTGACACTTTGGAGCAGTGGAGATCGTCATCATCACCATTTCCCCCAAAGAGCTCTTGCCGCTGGTTTTTATACCGGTACTAACGCCGAGTTTACCTTGGGGAGCCTTCCCACTTGTCGGGGTTTTTGTGCTTGTTTTTGTTGCTGCAACAGTGCCCTCTGCCTCAGATTTTCTACCAATACTAACATTGACTATGGAAGCCTTCTCACTGGTGGTTGGTGCGGTGGTTGGTAATGTGCAGCTCTTGCTGTTGGCATTGATACCAGTAGAAACATTGCATTTCCCTGGGGGCGCCTTGCCGCCTGTTGGAGTTACTGTTGCGGCTCCGGGGTTCGGGGTGTCTTCCTTTAAACCAGTAGGACAACTGACTCCGCATCGGGGAGCCTCCACATCCGGCGAACTGGTATATTGATCAAAGTTGAATCCAATCCCCTCTAGACTCCAAAATCTTCGATATTGCTGGAGTGTAGTCCGCTGCCTCAAGTCATGACACTGTGCACGCACCCATGCACCAAACTCTGGATCAGCTGTGACAGGTTGAGGAACGTTCGTGTGGCTGCAAAGAATGAATGAAATGATATATAAGACTTCCGACAGCAGCAGGTGCATTCGCAACAACAACACAAACTTACCCATGTTTGTTCTTGAAGTGCAACAGTTTTTCAAACTGGGCCTCCCACTCATAATCTGTGCCTTCCTTGCATTCCTCCGGTGCTTTCTTGGGCGCTGTCTTTGGTGCTACCTTGGGTGCTGCCTTGGGTTTTGTGGGCTTGGCTTTGGTGGGCTTGGGTTTTTTGGGCTTGGGTTTTTTCAAAATATCGTAGATTTTGGAAATGTCGTGGGTTGCCGCGGCCTGCTTTTTCTTTTGTTGTTGTTTCGCTGGAATGGAACCTTCGACGGGACTTGGTCGGACCTCCATTTGACTGCCCAAAAACTTGGCATTCCACGTGAAACCAATGCCATCCAGACGGGCTTTTCGTTCGTCGGAGAGATATCTGCAATTATTGGTGTCTCGTTGCCGAGAGACCCATTTTCCCAGTGCAGGGTCTTCCTTCCATCGGACCGGTACCAAACCTGAAGTCAAGGGGACGCAAGAACGGAAAAGCCCAAACAGTGTGTGAGGGAAATCCAACTTGTGGATACTCAAGTAGCAAGCTCGTAGAGTCGAATCGAATCGAATCGATTTGACTTACAATCTCCATATCGTTGCTTGTAATTTTCCAATTTTGCAAACATGATTTCCCATCGTTGTTGGCTCTTGCCAACCTGTTTTCCGGGCTCACTCCATTTGAATTTAATCGAGTACAATTGGCAAAGTTGCTCTGGTGACAAGGATTTTTTATAGTGCCGGATCCAAGTCGCCCACTCATCCAGGTCCTTGTATTCTGGAAGCTGACTTGGTTTGACGACGAACGTGAGATACTTTTCCTTGAAGGCAATCAACCGTTGCATCTTGGCGTCAAAGTCTCGCAGCTCGGGAACTTGTGGTCTTGGTTCTGTTGATGCTTCGCTTGTGCTCGCTAGTAGCACAACATCGTTTTCCACATCAGTCTTGCTATCACCTTCTTCCCCGTTGCTGTTGCTCTCGGCTTGTGCAGCAGTCTCTATCGTTTTGGCTTCTTTGGCTGGCGTTGGCGCCAAGATTGAGGTTGATTCCGTACTGTCTTCATCCATGTTACTCTTGCTCGCATCTTCTTCCAAATTGCTGTCGCTTGCATCTTCTTCCACACTATTTTTGTTCTTTACTTGTGGAGCACTTTCCATCGTTTTGGCTTGTTTGGCTGGTGGTGGTGGTGGTGGCGCCAAGCCTGTGACATCTGCCATTCTGTCTTCATCCGCATTACTCTTGCTCGAGTCTTCTTCCGCTTTACTATTGCTCGTGTCTTCTTTCTCCTTATTTTTGCTCTCTACTTGGGGAACGCTTTCCATTGTTGTTGTTGTTGTTCCTTCTGCTACAAGAATCTTGGGGGTGTTATTGCATCCTTGGGGTTCGGAAGCAGGACTGACCGTTGTTGGCGCCGCCTTTAATTCGGCTTCTCTTATTGCTGCTGCAGTGTCTTTGCCATTGTTGTTGACGAGAATGGCAGACATGACAATGATTACCTACGAAACAAAAATGGCTTGTAGCTGTGGGGTTCCCTCGAGCGAATCAATCGAATCCGGTTCTTGTTGTCCGGTTGTGTCGCGCAAACACGATGTAGACTACTAGCCAGCTACGGTAGCAATAGGGTCCAACCAAAAATATATTGTCTCTTCTCGTGGTACGACGTCTTCTATTTCTCGTCTCGATTGCCAGTACCGGTACGGTATCCACGAGATCGACTTACAATGGGACAGCCGATACAAAGCACTCTTACACTCGAAGCGTCTTCTGGTTCCGCTGTTGGTTGACAGACTGAGACTCCTCGATGGGTTCGGAACAGTGGCTGCGAAGAGAGTGTCTCTCGCACCTTCTGTTCCGTCATTCCATCCAAGATCAAGACCAAAAGAAGTTTTTTAGAAAAGTCAAAAACTCATTTTGCAAAATTCACCACGGCCGTGACCAGTGTCTGTCGTGTCCACTATCCGATTAGGGCAGGAAGGTTCGGTCTGAGGCAAACCTGGATCTTTTGACACACTGTTGGCCATCAAAAGATCACTCATCAAAAGATCACGAGTGACGAGTGACGAGTGACGAGTGGTGCTTCACTCGACTGCATCACAGCCAGTCCTTTACTCGATGCTACTGATGCTGCCATTGGTGGTATATTTAAAAAAAAACCTTTGAAGTGGTGTTACTACTAGTAATCCCTGTCTCAAATCAACCAATCTAGAAGCATAGGAGGGACCAGAGAAGGCTGCTGGTACAGGACGAGTAACCGAGGACTGGTGACGGAAACTGCGTTTTGTAGGTGCGGAGACTGTGTCAGGATCGGTGAAAACGAAGTCAAAGTGGTTGGAACTGAGACCATAGTCTATGCCAACAAGAAGCCGCTATGGCTGATGAAAAGGGAGGGATGCATTGACGACAACAATAAGCTCAGATAAGGGCTACATACGCAGAGATACAGGAATTACCTGATGGAATTGATCATGCGGTGAAGAATCGGCTGAAGCTATTGTCCCAGCCTGAAGCTATGGTCCCAGCCTGATGCACTACGCTAAAAGCTAGTGTAAAGATCTTTCGAGTGTTTTGAGTTTGAGAGAAAGAAAGTTATGAGAGGATTAGAAAGCTATGAAAACTAATCAACGAGAGAGATCCACAATCAAAGGATCGTAGATCTGAACTCCCGCGGGAGACTGTAGAGTGAGATAGAGTAGGTTGCGGTAGCAATCCTACTCGCTCCACGATCCAAAAACGGAACGCGTGGAAGATTTGTCTAGCATTTATCTAGTAGCGTGGAAGTACTCCACGCTGGCTAAAATATCTAGAGCGATGTTTCATCATCAACTAGATTTGATCTAGAGCGGTCATGAGAATTCTGCTCCAATGACTATCCGCAAGGACTACGTCGTGAGTCGAACTCAACCCTATCTAGGATCGAGTCGCGAATAAGGCTAGAGCCGTGTGTTGCATTGGCTAAGAGCCGTGTATTGCATTCGCCCCCTGACAAGGTCACGGAAGGCACGACATCAGTCGGACAAGGAGAACATATGAATTAAAGTGCGGGCACCTCCGGAGATTGGATGTAGACATGTGCGTCGCACGATGCAATCCTACAAGGGGATCAGGCCTTGTATGGGTGTTAAATACCTTATGTTCCAAGTCTGGTAGACTGTGCCGCTATTGGCGGTAGTATGTCGGAGCCGTACAGTGCCATGTTATTTGACTCGGTCTGTGTGGTAAGGACCTTGTGAACGGTTCTGATACTGATGAATCATCATAGTGTCGTTGACATGTATCTCTCCTCTT